GGACTGAAGGGTCCCGGGTTTGATTCTGGTCAAGGGCACATGTCCGGGGTTGCAGGCTCGATCCCCAGTAGGGGCTGTGCAGGAAGCAGCTGATCAATTATTCTCTCTCATCATTGATGTTTCTCTCTCTCCCTTCTCTGCAATCAATACAAATATATATTTTAAAAAAGGCTCTTAAGAATGACTTACTCACAGACAACAGGGGGGTGAGGGCATGAGTGGGAGGGTGATGGGGGTTAATGTGGGGATAAGGACACATATAATAACTTAATAAAGTAATAAAAAAAGAATGAGTTACTAATTAAAAAAAATTAAAGTCCCTTAATCAACAACTTTAATCCCCCTCATCCCAGGTGCCTCCTCCATCCCCTTGGCCCCAGGAAGGGGTGGTTTTGGGGGAGCAGGATGTGGACACCTTTGGGGGCGCCCCCGTCCTGTCTTCCACTCTGTCCCTTTCACACCCCTGCTTTCTTAGCCTTTCTCACGGCCGTGGGCTCCCCTCACAAGGTCCCCACTGCTTAAAGGAGGCAGAATTACCAGCAGAATTACGGTCCCGGTGTTAGCAGCAAATCAGCTGAAATGAGATGTTATCGCCAACTCCCCAAATAGGGCAGCCAGTCTGGCCTCAGCCACGTGCAGGCGGCTGGTGGCTTGCGGTTTCGAGCCACAAACCCCTCAGACCGACATCCGCTTCCTTTTCGGAACCGAGAAACCTCAGACCACAGACATTGTCTCACACACTGAGGTCACCCTTCTCTCGGCCCCGGAGGCCCTGGGCGGCTCCCGAGCCCAGCGCTAACCTTCGGAGATGAAAGGTGATGAAACCCCGTCTGAAACCACCAAACCCACAGCCGCTCAGACCGGAGACTGTGGCAGAGCAACCAGCAGCCGGAGGAAGTGGAGAAAGGGCTGTGGGTTAGCGGGGGGCGGGGTGCACGCTTCACAGAAAGGCAGCCAAGTCGGGGTGAAGCTTTCGTAGGCTCTTTGGGGCCTGGGGACTGTGCCAGGAGGCCCGACTGCTGGTGACAGGCGCTGGCCGGGTGCCGGCTGGGCTGGTGTTCACCCGGCTGGGCGCTGTGGCCCAGGAGACACCCGGCTCTGGTTGAGGAAACCATCCCACCTGCCTGACAGGTGACCATCACCAGGGGCCACTTCACCCCGAGGCTGAGCGTCTATGGCGGGTTGATGGTGGCCCCTAAAGTTATGTCCATCCCTAGCCGGTGTGGCTCAGTGGATAGAGTGTCGGCCTGCGGACAGAAGGGTTCGATTCCAGTCAAGGGCACATGCCCAGGTTGCAGGCTCGATCCCCAGTAGGGGGCATGCAGGAGGCAGCTGATCAATGATTCTCATCTCATTGATGTTTCTATCTCCCTCTCCTGCTCTGAAATCAATAAAAAAATATATATATTTTAAAAATATGTGGCCCATCCACACAAGGACATGTTGTCCTGGGAGGGAAACGTCGCGTTCAGTGGAGAAACCCTGAGACAGACGGGCCGGGGTCCCTGTATGAGGCTGCCAGCTTCAGGAGCTGGGAGCGGGCGGCGGGGGAGATGGACCTACTACTCGCGGGCAGCGCACAGTGGGACCACAAATCGCGTCTGCACTGTGGCTCATAGGGATGGGGCACGGCGCTGAGCCAGTGGCCTTAGAGTTTGACATCGTCATGGAAACAGAGCGAATGGTGAAAGGCTGTGGCAACCGAGCGACAGTGAGCGAGCAGCCGGTGCCCGGAAAGGCGCGTGTGAAATCGGGGTTTCCTCCAGCAGAGGGGCTCCCCGAAAGTCACGCCTGCCCGGGGGCTTGTCACAGCGGCGGAGCTTCGCGGGAAACGCGCAGCCTCGGGCCGGCTGGACCTGGGAACCTGGAGGCCCTCCGCCCCCCAACTCCCCTTGATGGGAAGTCCCGGTCCCTCCTCAGGCAGGTGTCTCCCCCATGAGGTTGATTGGCATCAAGCCCCGCCCCGCCTGGCTCACCTGGGTGGGGGTGGGGGGTCGGCTAACGCGCCGTGATTGGCTGAGTCCGGGGCTCACCTGGGGGCGGCTCTCGGGGCATTAGGCTGGGGGTGGGAGGGGGTCGGGCTGGGGGGATCCATGCATGGGGAGTTTCTTCACAATTTCGGGACCCGGGGACCGGGGCTGTGGCGGCTGCGCAGGTAGGTGTCTCCCCACATAACGTGTAAGAGCGGGGCAGCCCTGGCCCGCGTGGCTCAGCCGGCTGAGCATCGCCCTGGGCACCCCAAGGTCTCGGGTTCGATTCCAGGTTGGGGCTCATGCCCGGGTGGCAGGTTTGACCCCCCCGTCAGGGCGCCTGTGGGAGGCAACCAATCGATGTCTGTCTGTCTGTCTGTCTCTCTCTCCCTCTCTCTCCTTCCCCCTTCTCTCCCTCTCTCTAAAATAAATAAAGACATATCCTCAGACAAAGGCAGAAAGAATGCCCGAACTTATACATAATTTAAAAGTACATTGAAAAGGGAAACCCCACCCGTGTTTAAGGAAGTGGTTCTCAACCTTCCTCATGCCGCGACCCTTTCATGCAGTTCCTCATGTCGTGGTTTCCCCCAACCATAACATTATTTTCGTTGCTACCTCATCACTGTCATGTTGCTACTGTTATGAATCGTCATGTAAATATCTGATCTGCAGGATGTATTTTCATTGTTACAAATTGAACATAATGAAAGCATCGTGATTCATCACCAAAACAATATGTAATTATAGATGTGTTTTCAGATGGTCTTAGGCGACCCCTGTGAAAGGGTCGTTCGACCCCCAAAGGGGTCGCGACCCACAGGTTGAGAACCGCTGGTTTGAGGAGCCTCGCTCCCACTCTTTCCATATTTTTAACACATTTGAACCCTGTGGATGGATGACTGGGATAAAGTTAATTTAAGTTCAATAAGTCAAAGCGAAGGCTTGCGCACACATGGTGGCATACCAAGATATATTCTGCATCTTCCCTTTTCCCCACGCAGCCATCGATACGAAAGAAAAACCGTGCGATGCACGTGCAGCTGGCGGGCCCGGGGCTCTGTGCAAACCACCCTCAGACAGAGAGACAGGTGTGCAAACAGCAAAAACAACCCCAACATTCTGACCGATCAGGCACCGGCCGTGCCTTAGAAAGGCGACTCCACAGCGAGGAGAAACTAGAGGAGGGTCACACTTTGGGCTCTGCAGGGTTAAGGGAAAAAGCAGAAGAAAGGGGAAATTAGGATTTTGCAAGAAGTGGGGGGAGGGAAGGACAGAAGCCTCTTCCCCTATCAGATAAGAACCTGTACTTCACCGCACCGACAGTAGAGGGCGCGCTTGTCTGAAAAAAATCTTCACATTCATAACCAGGAACGTTAAATACTTAGGAGCACCTGTTCTCTCTCCCAGGGATGTTTCTCTCTGTCTGTCTCTCCCCCGCCCTTCACTCTCTCTAAAAATCAATGGAGCCCTGACCGGTGTGGCTCAGTGGATAGAGCGTCCGCCTGCGGACTGAAGGGTCCCAGGTTCGATTCCCGTCAAGGGCATGTACCTGGGTTGCGGGCACATCCCCAGGAGGGGCTGTGCAGGAGGCAGCTGATCGATGTTTCTAACTCTATTCCTCTCTGTAAACAATCAATAAAAACAATAAAAATATATTTAAAAAATAAAAATCAATGGAAAATAGCCTCAGGTGACCACGATGACCAGCAGCAGAGGAAGACACTGAAGGAAGAACTGTAGGAACCGCCCCAGCCGGCAGCCCCGGGCCCAGCGTAGTGACCAGACTCTGTCACCAAGTGGTCAGGTTGGACTTGGGGCTGCGGCTCCGTCCACGGCGGTTCCGCTGGGTTCTGCGGGTGAGACTCAGCCGGCCGTCCTGACGTCACTCCGCCTGCCTTGGGGAACCCTCTCCCTCTCCCTCTCCCGTGGCCACACACAGGCCCTGTGGGAGCGCCCCGGGGGGCCCCGTGTCTGTGGCGGGCAGGCAGCCGCAGGCGGAAACCGCAGAGGGATGTGGGTGGCGGTGCAGCCTTGTCTTGCAGAGGGGACGTCCCCTTCCCGTAGAGCAGGGCTGAGGTCGCCCCGGGTGAAGGGCTCAGAGCCCCGGGCTGCCCCGTCCTGAGCGTGTCCCCCTGTGGCCATCGGCCGTCCAGCGCGAGGTGTGGGCTCCTGTCCTCGGGGTCCCTCTCCTGCTTGGACCTGGTGAAGGCCGCCGCCGGGGAGGCGACGGGAGGCTGTGGAGGGAGGAGGGTGGAGATGCTGAGGTTCATTCCCCGGCGACCCTCTGCGAGGTCCTGGGGCTGGAGAGGGATCGAGAGACTGCCCACCATATGGTCATTTTTCTTTAGTTTTTAAAAATATATTTTTATTGATTTCAGAGAGGAAGGGAGAAGGAGGGAGGGAGAGAGAGAGAGAGAGAGAGAGAGAGAGAGAGAGAGAGAGACATCAATGACGAGAGAGAATCATGGATCGGCTGCCTCCTGCACGCCCCCCACTGGGGATCAAGCCTGCAACCCGGGCATGTGCCCTTGACAGAAATCGAACCTGGGACCCTTCAGTCTGCAGGCCGATGCTCTATCCACTGAACCAAACCGGCCAGGGCTTTTCCATTGATTTTGAGAGAGAGAGAGAGAGAGAAAGAGAGAGAGGAACATGAACATGAATGTAAGAGAGACACATCGATCGCTTGCCTCCCACACGCTCCCCGACCAGGGCTGGGGATCGAACCTGCAACCCAGGTGTGTGCTCTTGCCCGGGAATCGAACCCTTGGCCCCGAGGTGCTTGGGGCTGGCACCCTAACCACTGTGCAGCACCGGCCAGGGCTGGTTGGGGGTTTGATCTGCACGCCTCCAGGGAATGCCAGGGCGTCTATGGGGAGACTGGCCCGCGGACAGTGCCTGGTGGCAGGAGATAAGTGAGGCTCCTTGGAGCTTGTGTGCAAGTCATTCCCCCGGGGGCACAGCTCCGATCTGATAAGTCTCAATTAGGAAAGGCCGGGCGGGCAGGGGGAGGGAGGGGAGGGCACTTCTCTCTCATCACGTCCGTCCATCCGTCCGGTGTCCCTGCTCCAGCCCCTCACGGCTTCCCTCTGAGCTGCGGAGTCAGGATGGGCACAGGAGCCATGTCCCCGTCTCGGTCTGCCCTCTTCTGTCTCGGTGAGTCCGGAGGGTGGACCTGGGAGACGCTGAGGGGCGGGCAGTGGGTACCAGGCAGGTAACTGTTTGAAAGCGTCACTTGCGATGGATTTCAGAGCCAGAGGCAAGCTGTGGGTGGGACCCAGGGGGTGGCGTGTCTGCGTTTTCCTAGTCTATTCACGGCCCGGGCAGGACATGAACAGAACATGCTTAGTGTCGGCTTAAACGTTCTCCCACTACAACATCTTAAAAAAAAAAAAATCCAGCCCTAGCTGTTGTGGCTCAGTGGATAGAGCGTTGGCCTGCAGACTGAAAGGTCCTGGGTTCGATTCCAGTCAAGGGCACATGCCTGGGTTGCGGGAGCAATCCCCAGTGGGGGACATGCAGAAGGCAGCCAATCAATGATTCTCTCTCATCATTGATGTTTCTATCCCTCTCTCCCTCTCCCTTCCTCTCTGAAATCAATAAAAATGTATATATATTAAAAAAATCCTCACATACCTGGGTCGCAGGTTTGATCCCCAACCCCGGTCTGGATGTGTATGGGAGGCAACCAATCGATGTGTCTTTCTCACATGGATGTTCCTCTCTCTCTCTCTCTCTCTCTCTCTCTCTCTCTCTCTCTGTCTCTCTCCCTCTTTTCCTCCCTCCCTTCCACTCTCTCTAAAAAGCAATGGAGCCTGACAGTGTGGCTCAGTGGTTGAGCATCAACCCATGAACCAGGAGATCCCGGTTCGATTCCCAGTCAGGGCACGTACCTGGGATGTGGGCTCGACCCCCTGTGGGGGGCGTGCAGGAGGCAGCCGATCCATGATTCTCTCTCATCATTGATGTTTCTCTCTCTCTCTCTCTCTCCCTCTCCCTTCCTCTCTGAAATAAAAAAAAATATATATTTTCTTAAAAAAAAGCAATGGGAAAAATATCATTGGGTGAGGATTAACAACAACAACAATAAAGGAATCCCTGTCCATAGCATTCCCCTTCCCCTCTCCTCCCCCGGCCACTGCTGACCATTACTCTACTTCTTGTCACTGGACAGATGGCCGCTTCCTATACATGGAACGTAGAGGCCCGTCATGTTAGCGCCTTTCGCTTCAGTTAGGGGCCTGTGTATCTCCCAAAACAATGCCAACAAGAAGCCTTGAAGGCACGCCGACGCCTCATCCTGGCGTCCAGCCCCCGGGAAGTGGGTCCCCGGACGCCCTAGCCCTGGGTCCTGTCCTTCTGTCCCCAGGGCTGTGTCTGCGGCAGGTGATACAGGCTCAGGACGGTGAGTGGGGACCCCTCCTCCGGGCCCAGCTGGCGAGGTGAGCGGGCAGGGCGGGAGGGCCCGGGGCCCGGCTGACCCCCACGGCCTTCTGCTTGCTCCCCTCCCAGGGCCACTGCCCAAGCCCACCCTCCGGGCCCTGCCCAGCCCCCTGGTGCCCCTGGGCACGCCGGTGACCGTCCGCTGCCAGGGCCCCCCCGGCGTGGACTTGTACCGCCTGGAGGAGCTGAGGTCCGGGAAGTACATGAACGTGGCCTCCCTCAGCATCCCGGCCATGGAGCACACCTCTGCTGGGCCGTACCGCTGCTCCTACCAGAACGGCAGTCGCTGGTCCCTGCCCAGCGAGCAGCTGGAGCTGGTGGCCACCGGTAACTGGGCGGACGGACGGACAGGACGGGGCGGAAGGGCCGACAGTGCTCAGTTCTTGGGCTCGAAGTGGGTGAATGGGGGAAGATGATTATGGTAAACTCAGTGTCTCCAGGGTCTGGAACTAGGGTGGGGCAGTGAGGCACTGGGCTTATGTGCTAAATTTTGGGGAGTTGCCCCCCCCAAAATCAGCTCTCAAGGTAAATAATATGTTAGTGCAATAGCTGCTTACAAAGACCAGTGTGAAGCTCAGCCGGTGTTGTTCAGTGGTTGAGCATCGACTTATGAACCAGGAGGTCACGGTTTGATTCCCGGTCAAGGGCACATGCCCAGGTTGCGGGCTCCATCCCCAGTGTGGGGCGTGCAGGAGGCAGCCCATCCATGATTCTCTCTCATCATTGATGTTTCTCTCTCTCTCCCTCTCCCTTCCTCTCTGAAATAATAATAGAAAAATCAGTGAAGCTTGGCCAGTGTGGCTCAGTTGGTTGAGCGTTGTCCAGTGCACATACCTAGGTTTCAGGTTCAATCCCCACTTAGGGCGAAGGCAACTGATTGATGTTTCTCCCTCTCTCTCTCTCTCTCAACCTATCTCTATCTCTATCTCTATCTCTATCTCTATCTCTATCTCTATCTCTATCTCTATCTCTATCTCTATCTCTATCTCTCTATATCTATCTATCTATCTATCTATCTATCTATCTATCTATCATCTATCTATCTCTTCCTCCCTCCAGTGAGGATTTAAAAAAAACCAGTGACCTAAGCCAGTCGGAGAAGGACAAGTACCAGATGATTCCACTCATACGTGGAATCTAATGAACAAAATGAACTAACAAGCAAAATAGAGACAGATTCCTAGAGAGAGAGCAGCTGGTGTGTGTGTGTGTGCACACGCGCGTGTGTGCGTGTGTGTGAAGGGAATGAGCAAAAAAAGAAAAAGAGAAAAATACGTGGACAGGGACCACAGTGTGGTGACTGCCAGGGGGAGAGGAGGGGAGAGGGGAGGGGAGGGGAGGGGAGGGGAGGGGACATGAGGTGGAGGCGGGCACAGGGGGATACATGGTGATGGAAGAAGATATGACTTGGGGTGGTGAACACACCACACAGCGTGCAGGTGATGAGTTGTGTGGAACTGTGCACCTAAAACCTGTATAATTTTGTTAACCAGTGTCACCCCAATAACCAGTGTCACCCCAATAACCAGCGTCACCCCAATAACCAGTGTCACCCCAATAACCAGCGTCACCCCAATGCGTTCAATAAGAAGGAACAAGCACAAAAGAAACAGTGGCCCGTTGGGCAAAGGTGTAGCTACAGTGACGTTCACTACGATTTGTTCATGAGGTTTAAGTTTCTTTTGTTTTTGCTTTTTGTTAATCCTTACCCAAGGATCTTTTTCCCACTGATTCTTAGGGAGAGTAGAAGGGAGGGAGGAAAAGGAGAGAGAGAGAGAGAGAGAGAGAGAGAGAGAGAGAGAGAGAGACACATTGACTGGTTACCTCTCGCATGTGCCCTGACCAGGGCCGGGGGATCCAGCCTACAACTGAGGTATGTGCCCTTGACTGGACTCAAACCCGGGACCCTTCAGTCTGAGGGCTGACTCTATCCCCTGAGCCAAACTGGCCAGGGATATGATGTTTAACTGCACATTTTAAAAAAATATATATATTTTATTGATTTTTTACAGAGAGGAAGGAAGAGGGATAGAGAGTTAGACACATCGATCAGCTGCCTCCTGCACACTCCCCACTGGGGATGTGCCCGCAACCAAGGTACATGCCCTTGACCGGAATCGAACCTGGGACCCCTGAGTCCGCAGGCCGACGCTCTATCCACTGAGCCAAACCAGTTAGGGCAACTTTGCACATTTCTAAATTTTACAGAGAGGAGGGGAAAGGGAGGGAGAGATAGGAACATGGATGGGCTGTGCACGCACGGAATGATGCTCAGGCAATGGAGCCACACTGCTGCTGTCTTTGATCCCAGAGTTCTTTTGTTCACAGGAATTTATGAGAAGCCCACGCTCTCGGCCCAGCCTGGCCCGGAGGTGTCCCTCGGAGGGGACGTGACGCTCCAGTGCCGGAGCAAATACGGTTTTGACAAATACGCTCTGTACAAGAAGGGGGACACTGGGCCTTACAAGGGCCCTGAGCGGTGGGACCGGGCCAACTTCCCCATCATCACGGTCACGGCCGCCCACAGCGGGACCTACCGGTGCTACGGCTTCTCCAGCAGCAACCCGTACCTGTGGTCCGCCCCCAGCGACCCCCTGGAGCTCGTGGTCACGGGTAAGGGGGTGCAGGCCAGACCTTCCTTCCTCTGCCTTCGCAGACCCTGATGCAAGCTCCCAGGGGAGGGACCCAGAGGTGCAAAGGGTGGACTTTATGCCAACACCAGAGATTCTTCTCTCCCAGGAGTCTTTTATGTTGAAAATATATTTTTATTGTTTTCAGAGAGGAAGGGAGAGGGAGAGAGAAAGAGAGAAACATCCATGATGAGAGAGAATCATGGATCGGCTGCCTCCTGCAGGCCCCACACTGAGGATCGAGCTGGGAACCCGGGCATGTGATCTTGACGGGGAATGGAACTGTGACCTCCAGGTTCATAGGTCGATGCTCAACGCTGAGCCACACCGGCCGGGCTCTTTATTATTTTACTAGAGGCCCGGTGCATGCACCAGTGGGGGTTCCTCAGCCTGGCTTAAACCCTCTTGCAATCCAGGACTATTCAGGGGATGTCGGACTGCCGGTTTCGGCCCGATCCCCTGGCCTGCGGCAGTCTGACATTCCCTGAGGGATGTAGTAGTGTGCAAAGCGGCAGACGGCCAGGGAGGAGCCCAAGGCCTGGCCAGGCGCCCGCAGCTCCAGCTCATCCTGGCCCCACTGCGCCTGCTGCTACTGCTCACAGCTGTGCTCGCCAGCCATGAGCCGGTGTCTGGCGCCTGAAGGTCAGCTGAGCAGCGCTCGGACTGTGGGAGTGCACTGACCACCAGGGGGCAGGTCCTCATCGAGCGTTTGCCCTCTGGTGGTCAGTGCGCGTCATAGTGACTGGTCAACTGGAAGTTCAGTCGTTCAGGCTTTTGTATATATAGATTGTTGACCGTATTAGAGGTGTCCCCCCTTTGCTCCCCTCCTCCCAGCCCTGGCTTTTCCCCTAGGTCTTCGCCACACTATTATCTACATCCCTGGGGTACATATATGTACATATGCATATAATCTCTTCCAATCTCCCCCTCCTCCCTCCCAGATCTGTTAGTCTGTTCCATGCACCCACGCCTCCGGACCCATTTTGTTCATCAGTTTATTATTTTGTTCATTAGATTCTATACATGCGTGAGATCGTATGGCACTTGCCTTTCTCTGATGGGTTTATTTCACTGAGCACAATGCTCTCCAGGCTAGGGGGGCCTTGGAAATGCTACTTAACACCCAGCGGTGTAAGATTTGTGTTCATTTTCCAGGCGAGGAATCTGGGTGGCAGAAGTGTTTTTGCTCAGAAAACGCAGCTAACAGGCCACAGAATTCCCTCTTTTTCTGATTTCTCAGGGACCTCTGGGACACCCAGCCAGTCACCCACAGAAGCACCTTCCTCTACAACACGTAAGTCCTGAGGGGTTCACCCTAGTGTCTGGGGTCCAAGGCACGTGAACCCCTTCTTTTTCATCCTCAACTGAGGATATGTCTATTGATTTTTTACAGGGAGGGAGGGAGGGAAGGAGGAGGAACATTGATTGGTTGCCCTCCTATATGTGCCCTGACCAGGGATCCAACCCATAACTTAGGCATGTGCCCTGACTGGGAATCAAACCTACTTTGTGGTGTATGGGATGACGCTCCAACCAACTGAGCCACACCAGCCAGGGCCATCGGTCGATTCTTGTAGGTGCCCCAACTGGGGTCCAAACCCGCAATTTTGGAGTATCAGGACGATGCTCTAACCAACTGAGCTACCCGGCCAGGGCCATTGCTAGTTTAATTTTCACATTGACGGAGTAGAGGAGATGGCCCCATCCCTTTACTCTCCCCTTAAAAAAACTCAAAACTTTATTGTTGAAAGTATTACAGATGTCCCCCCTTCCCCCATTGACCCCTTCTAGCCCACACCTGCCCCTGCCCCAGGCCTTCACCACACTACTGTCCACTATGTCCATGGGTGGTGCATATAGGCATACAAGGTCTTTGGTTAACTCCTTCCCACCCACCTTCCCTCTGAGATTTGACAGTCTGTTCCATGCTTCTCTGTTCTTTCTTTTAAAAATATTTTTATCCCAGGGCCTTCTAGGGATACCACCATCTTTTCAGGGGGGCCGGACTCTACAACTGGTGAGTAAGTGGTTCTCTCTGGACCTTCCTTCTCCTCACCTGTGTGTCTTTTTCTGATTTTTAAAAGTCTTTTAAAAAATATATTTTATTGATTTACCAAGAGGAAGGAAGAGGGATAGAGAGTTAGAAACATCAATGAGAGAGAAACATCGATCAGCTGCCTCTTGCACACACTCTACTGGGGATGTGCCCGAAACCAAGGTACATGTCCTTGACCGGAATTGAACCTGGGACCCTTCAGTCCGCAGGTTGATGCTCTATCCACTGAGCCAAACCGGTTAGGGCTGATTTTTTAAAGTCTTTATTGTTGAAAGTATTACATATGTCCCCTTCCCACCCGCCCCCCGCATCTACCCCCTCTAGCCCACCCCCGAATCTGTCCCAGGCTCTCACCACCCCACTGACTGTGTCCATGGGTTGTGCATACAAGTTCTTTGGCTAATCTCTTCCTATCCACCCACCCTCCCACTCCCATCTTCCCTCTGATATTCGACAGTCTATTCTTTATTTTTTATCCCAGAGCTTTCTAGGGACACCACCATCTTTTCCAAGAGGCCAGGCTCTACAACTGGTGAGTACGTGGTCCTCCTCTCTGGACCTTCCTTCTCCCCACTCCTCTTTATCTAAAGCTCACTGCTTTCCCAATACAGAAGCCATAGCTCTGGGATCTTGGGCCCTGATACACCCAGTGTGAAGGGGAGGGGAAATAACAGTATATGGAGCTCAGACTTGGGAAGGTTGAGGTCTTCTGGAAGATCAGAGTAAGATCCATTCCACCTCCACCCCCTGATAGTAGCCTTTTGTTCCACAATCTGCCAAATAGCCAGGGAGTGTTTGTGTAGGGGCGGGTTGCCTCCGAGGCCTGATGATGGAAGAGGTTCTACTCAGGGCACTGGGCTTATTGACCCCGGGGGAGAGGGGAGGGGCCCTCCAGGAAGGAGGTTGGCATCCCAGCTAGCAGAGTAACAGGACTTCCGGTGAGGGAATACGGCTATGAGAAGCCCACGACAGGGCTCCCATCTCTCTTCATTCCCCAGGCCTTGCCCATCAGGACTACACTAAGGGGAACCTGGTCCGGATATGCCTCGGGGCTGCGATTCTCTTACTCCTGGCGGGCATCCTGGTAGAAGACTGGCGCAGCCGGAAGAAATTCCCGCTGCACTGGGTCCCGGCTGTCCACAGGCCACTCCCACCCCTCCCACGGGCTCAGAAGTCACAAAGTGGTCAGGGCGGGGGTCGACTAGTTGGCCATCCCCAGGGTTTGCCACCATCAGAACCTCAAGATGTGGTTGTACCCAAGAGGTCATGAGAACAGGGAGGGGACTTGGCGTGCGCGCGCGCCCGCGCGTGTGTGTGTGTGTGTGTGTGTGTGTGTGTGTGTGTGTGTGTGTGTGTCTCTTCTTGGGGCTCCGTCAAGGAGCCCTTGAGTCAGTGTCTATTTGGCTTTCTGATTGCTTCTCAGCCTTTAAGGCCAAGTGCACTTGGCTTTCTGTTGATTAACCAAAGAACTTATATGCATATATTCATTGCTCATGGACACAGACAATAGGGTGGTAAAAGCCTGGGGCCGGGCTGGGCGGGAACTGGGTGAAGAGGAGCAATGGGGGGAAGAAATGGAGGACATCTGTAAGACTCAACAATGAAGATTAAAAAAAAGAGAACTCCCTCTGTTTGGGGTGGAAAGAATCAAACCAGCAACCCCTCAGTCCACCGGCCAATGCTCTATCCACTGAGCCAAACCGGCTAGGGCTAGTCCCTCATGTCTTGCACATTGTGGCTCTTACAACTTCCTCACCGCATCATCATACTTCCCTCTTTTTTTTTAAAAAAATGTTTTCATCGATTTTTAGATAGAGAAATGGAGAGGAGGATAGAAACACTGCTTAGAGAGAAACATCGATTGGCTGCCCCCTGTACACCCCTCTACTGGGGATGGAGCCAACCACCTGGGCATGTACCCTGACTGGGATTCGAACCGGTGACCTCTGGTGCATGGGAGGATGCTCAATCCACTGAGCCACTGGCCGGGCTTCCCTCTTTCTCCAGCCTTCTCTCAGGTGGCTCCTGGATGGACCCCTGCCTCTGGTCTGACTGTTAATAAATACAACCTCTTCCACAAGTGCTTTCACCTTTATTTCTCTTGATAAACTCGTGATTGGGGCAGCTCATCGTAACAGGATTAAGTGACACGTGCGTGATTTGTGTAAGGGGGAGGGTGCAACCATGGCTCAGACCCCATCGGGTCCAGAAAGTACTGACACGGAGCGGGCTCACGGGAAGCTCACCCTCGCCTCGAAGAGCCGTGGCGCCTTGATTGGCGGGACAACGAATGACTCGGAGGGGATTCAGAAAATGAAGTCTGCAGAAGAAGGCCTGTTATTTCTGGGCTCTTGGTTGTCCCTCTCAATAGTCAGTTTTGGGTTGCCCTCTTTGATTTCTTCCAGCAGCTTCTGGATTTGGGCGTCAGAATGATCGATCTTCAACCTGGTGGAACAATGGGGAGTGAGGGGGGGGGGAATCAAAGGTTTCTTGTTGCTTCCAGGAGACTCATTCCAGACCCCCCCCCAAGCATCCGCATGCGTTAGGGAATTTCAGCAAAGGGACCACCTTTATGCATTCGTCTGTGCTTCCAGGTAGAGTTCCATATCGACTTGATAGGGAAGAAATATGATATCAGGCTACCCTCCTGATGGCATCAAGCCACTGGCGAGCTTGGGATGCTCGGAGGGTCTTGGGTGATTTTCACGTCCTCCTTGGTGTGAGAGACGGAACTGAGGAACGTACCTGTGACGTGGCTCTAATACCAACCGGCTCCATATCTCACTCTGTCAACTTCTGCTACGTAGGTGGACCCAGGATGAGCCAGACAAACACAAGCCAAGTCAGCCAGGCCAGCTTTTTATCTCTCTCTGGCTACAGGATGCTATCTCATGACCATGCTTTTTTTTTTTTAATTAATTAATCCTTACCTGAGGGTATTTTTTTCCATTGGTTTTTTTTTTTTTTTTTTTTATTTTTTATTTTTTATTTTTTTTTTATTGCTTAAAGTATTACAAAGGGTATTACATATGTGTCCATTTTATCCCTCCATTGGTTTTTTTAGTAAGAGAGGAAGGGAGGGAGGGAAGAGAGAGAGAGAGAGAGAGAGAGAGAGAGAGAAAGAGGGACAGAGAGAGAGGGAAAGAGAAATTTCAACGTGAGAGAGACACATTGATTGGTTGCCTCCTGCACATGCTCGGACCTGGGCCAGGGATCAAATCTGAAAGCCAGGCACATGCCTTTAACTGGGAATCAAACCTGAGACCCTTCAGTGATGCTAAAACCATTGAGCAACACCACCCAGGGCTAACCATGCTTTATTTAACCTCTGATGATAGATAGTGGCCCCATTTCTAAGATTCACCCCTTGGTAACTATGGTAACTATCGAGCCCCAAACCCCGGGCATGTCCCCTGACCGGGAATCGAACTGTGACCTCCTGGTTTATGGGTCAAAGCAACAAGAGGAATCGACAGAACATCAATGGTGACCGAACATCAATGGATTAAAACTGAATGTTAGGGATAGACATGCCTACGAGGTATCCTGTCGTTGGTGCTCCCCCCAAATCTACAATCATGGCGCAAACACTGGGGCATAGGAGGGTCATACCTGAGTTTCTGCAGAGGGCAACTTTGAAGTTTCAGGGCATCTCCCAGCATCTTTATCCCACTGTACTCCAGGGAATTCTGGCCCAGGTCCAGAGTGACGAGGTGCTGGTTGCTGCTAAGGGCCGACGAGAGGTCTGCACAACTAAATGGGGTAATCGCACACCCCCATAACCTGTAGGTGAAGCACAAAAATCCATTATTCATTCATTCATTCATTCATTCATCCAGTGCTTATTGATACCGTCCTATGTTGATACTGTCCTATTTGCCAGGCACACTGTTGGGTGCTGGGGATCCAACAGTGAACCACACGAGTGAGTCTCTTCCCTCTGAGTTTGGCGATAGGGAGCAGAGCAGGTAAAGCAACATCAAGGCAGTCATGGTGAGTGAGCCAGGAAGGGCTGTAGGTGATGTCACAGATAAGCCAGGGAGGACTGGAGGTGGGGTCACAGATAAGAGGGGGCCAGCTCGAAGAAGGCCCTTAGGTCTTGGTAAACTTAGGATTTTACTTGGAAGGAGATGGGGAAGCACAGAGGGTGTTGATCAGAAGGGTGGCAAAAGTTACACCTTAGAAGGCAGTCTTATGGGTGGTTGAAAAACTGTAGGGCACGAAGAAGGCAGGATTCAGACTGATTTGAAAACTCAGCCACAACCCACATGTTACCAGTACATGTGTGGGGGTAGAGATCAGATCTAGATATCTGGAAGGGGGGTAGCATGATTTCAACAAGGATTCAATACTTGAACTTATTGATTCCAGAGAGAGAAAGGAAAGGGGAGAGGAAGAGGGGAGAGAGGGGAGGGAGGGAGGGAAGGAGGGAGGGAGAGAGGGAGGGGGAGAGAGGGAGAGAGGGAGAGAGGGGGAGAGAGAGAGAGAGAGAGAGAGAGAGAGAGAGAGAGAGAGAAAGAGAAATAGAGAATGAGAGACAGATTTATTGTTCTTATTCATGCATTCATTCGTTGATTCTTGTATGTGCTGGGGATTGAACCTGCAACATTGGCATATGGAAGACGATGCTCTAACCAACTGAGCTACCCAGCCAGGGCTATCCTAGAGGCCTTTTGAAATATTTAATTGACTAAAAAAATCCTTATTGTTGAAAGTATTACACATGCGCCCTAACTGGTTTGGCTCAGTGGATAGAGCGTCAGCCTGCGGACTGAAGGGTCCGAGGTTTGATTCCGGTCAAAGGCATGTACCTTGGTTGCAGGCACATCCCCAGTAGGGGATGTGCAGAAGGCAGCTGACCGATGTTTCTAACTCTCTATCCCTCTCCCTTCCTCTTTGTAAAAAATCAATAAAATATATTATAAAAAAGGTGCAAATCTTACTAAAAAAAGTATTACATATGCCCCCCATTTCCCCCATTGACCTCTTCTAGCCCCCCTGCCCCACCCCAGCCTTTACCACCCTCCAATTTTTTTTGATTACGAGCACATGGCACAATTACATGCCTACACGTCTCAATATTGTCCTCAATAGAGCTGGGGGGCGGGGAGGGAGATTGCTACACTGGTATTTCATTTCAGGTGCAGATTAAAGTACAAAAACCATTAACTGACCATAGACATCTTAGGTGACACAGCGGTTTTTTCAGAGCCTCACACAGAAACTTCACCCCAGTGACTCCAATGTGGTTCAGCCCCAGGTCCAAGTGCGTGAGACTAGAGCTTTCTTGGAGGAGTGTGGCGAGGATGACGCAGCCGTCACTGGTTATGTTGCAGTGGAACAGCCTGGAGATCGATCACAGGAAGGAAAAAACAACAACAAACCGTTAGTGCTCACTGGTGTGATGCAACCAAACCATGATTGGCCAGCTCAAGCCATGGGGTTATTTATTTAGAAAATATTTTTATTGATTTCAGAGAGGAAGGGAGAGGGAGAGCGAGAGAGAAACATCAATGATGAGAGAGAATCATGGATTGGCTGCCGCCTGCACACCCCCTACTGGGGATCAAGCCCACAACCTGGGCATGTGCCCTTGACCAGAATCGAATCCAGGACCCTTTAGTCCGCAGGCCGATGCTCTATCCACTGAACCAAACCTGCTAGGGTGGCTTATTTTAGTCATTATTATTTATTGATTGATTTTTAAAAATTGAATTTATTGGGAGCGATAGTGGTTAATAAAATTATGCAGGTTTCAGACATACAATTCTACAACACATCACCTGTATATTGTATTGTGTGTTCACCACCCCAAGTCAAGTTTCCTTCTATCACTATTTATTCCCCCTTTACCAAACTCTTCTACCTTCCCCCGCCTCCCCTCTGGCAATCACCATACTGTTGTCTGTGTCCATGAGTCTTTTTTTCTTTTCTTCTTTGCTTAATCCCTTCACCCTTCTCACCCAGCCCCCAAACCCCTCTTCTCTGACAGCTGTCCATCTGTTCTCTGTATCCATGGGTCTGTCTCCAGTTGGTGAGTTTATTTTGTTCATTCGATTCGTGTTGTTTTAAGCTACTTAGTTTGGGCTAATCTGTCACAGAAGCCCTGGGAAATCAGGACAGCTGGTCTGTACGATTTCTACTCTAACCATGAGGCAGAGAATTTCAATCCTACCTGGGTCTGCTACCTTCTATTAGGGGACGTGGCCAATTGTATTTCCTAAATCCAGTTACTAGGAAAGTAGTATCTTAGGCATGGAGGCCACCCACTATGTGTCAGTTACCCAACTACACACAATATCAGTGGTATTTCACCTTAACTGTGTTTTTTTTTACTCTTCACCTAAGGATATTTTTCCCCCCATCGATTTTTAGAGAGCGTGGAAGGGAGGGAGGAAGAGGGAGAGAAAGAGACAGAGATATGAACATCGATGTGAGAAAGACACACTGATTGCCTTCTGTATGTGCCCTGACTGGGGCCAGGGAATTGAAGCAATCCAGGTATGTGCCCTTGACTGGGACTTGAATGTGACACCACTCAGTGCATGGGCTGATGCTCTAACCACTGGGAAACCAGCCAGAGAGCTTACCTTAACTTTTTTTTAAAAAAATTTAAATTTATTGGTGAGAGAGAGAGAAAGAGAGAAAAAGAGAGAGAGAGAGAGAGATTTGTTGTCCCACTTATTTATGGATTTATTGGTTGATCCTTTTTTTCATTGGTTGATTCTTGTATGTGCCCTGACCTGGGATTGAATCACAACCTTGCATAAATAAGTGGAACACTTTCTTTTTCTCTCTAAAATAAAAACATTAAAAAAAAATCAAACCTAGAAGTCAGCTACACCCCCCAAATTCCTGTAGAATATTAATACCATTTGTACATTTTCCCTATCACCCTTTCCCCAGGTCTCATCAGATTTAACCATCAGCATCACACTTAGGGTAGTCAGAGAAATGATTAAGTCTAGCTGGCATTCAGCACACACACAGACACAGACACACACACACACATAATACATAATACACATAACACACACAGACACACACACAGACACATGCACACACAGGCACACACAGACACACATAGACACACACACGCACACGCAGACACACACGCAGACACACACGCAGACACACACGCGCACGGCCAGCGGGGACTTACACCAGGGTCTGTAGCCGACATTCGGGGTAGCTCAAGCCCTCGCACAGCAGTCTCACCCCGTGGTCCCCAAGGTCATTTTTGGCCAAGCACAGGTGTGTCAGCCTCTGGTTGACCATCAAAGTGGAAGAGAGCTCCTTGCAATAGGCGGCTGTCAGGTGACAGTTTTCCAACCTGTGGGAGGGGGAAGCGCCACACACCCCCACAGTCAGATGGTGAGAACGTTCCCGAAGCCCAACCTTCATCCCTGACTCTCATTGATCGCCTACGTGATCGCAGTCACGAAGAGACGGGAGCAAGAGAAGAGTGAGCTGCATGGGACCCAAAACGGGAACCGAGTGTCTACCTCAGTAGGCTGCCCAGAAAATATGGGTGTTACCGTCACTCTTCTCGATGTGGCCCCAGATCTAAAAACAAAGATGAAGATGTCCCGTGAGAGAAGAGGGGTCACTCACGACAACCGCTGTAGGATGCACTTGGGGTGTCTCAGAGTCATGTACAGCAGCCTGGCGCCCTCGTCCTGGAACTCATTGGCCGTGAGGTTCAAGCACGTGAGGGAATGGTTCGTCTCCAGGGAGGAGGCGAGATCAGCCCACTGCTGGGCGGTGGCAGAACAAGACACCAACCTGCAGGAGACATGGGAGGACGTCATCCTTGAGAACCAAACCCTGGACTGTGGCCCCTAGTTTCATTCCTCACACCACTTCGTGAAGTGACACCCTGGACTACGTGGTCTGGAGTAGTGGTTGTCACAGCGTGGTCCCAGGACCACCTGCATCATCACCATTGGGCAACCAGCTGGAAGTGGAAATCTCCAGAAACGCTGGGTGTAGGGTCCAGTGATATGTGTTTTCAGGTGTCCTGCAATGAGCACCTGGAAGATGAGTTAAAGCAAATTCTTGGGTCATATACCCAGAACCCGATTGAGAAGATCTTTGGGAGAACCAAGAATTTGGGTTTTGAGAAGTTCCCAGGTAGCCCTGGCTGGGTGGCTCAGTCGGTTAGAGCATTGTCCCCATATGCTAAGGTTGAGTGTTTGATTCCCTGATCAGGGAATTAACAAATGAGTGCATAAGTAAGTGGAACAACAAATCTATGTTTCTCTCTCTTTCTCTCCCCCTTCCTTCCTCTTTCTAAAAAAAAAAATCAAGAAATAAAAAAATGGCACCCACATTTAATTTCTGGAAATGAATATTCTTATTATGGTGCAATGGAATTTCACTGGATGTGTATCTCATGGCCTTTGGGGACAGGTTTCTAAAAACATTTGGTTCTTGCCCTGGCCAAGTGCCTCAGTTGGTTGAAGTGTCATCCCATACACCAAAAATGTTGTGGGTTTGTCCCTGGTCAGGGTGTATACAGCAGGCAACTGATCAATGTTTCTCTTTCACCTCTCTCTCTCAAAAATCAACAAAAACATATCCGTGGGTGAGGATTAAAAAAAAATCCTGGTTTTTCCATTTACTACACATGAAAATGTGGTCAAGTTACTTAAATTTATGAAACCTCATTCCCATCTTTAAGTTGGGAATAAGTCATACCCTCATGTGATAATTTGCATGAAATGCCAAGCAGAATGGGTGTCACATAACTTACGTTCATGAAAATTCAGTGAAAAGACATGTTTCTCTCTTAAGAGTCTCAACGGTAATAGAGGAACCAAAGTTAGCTAGGGACTTGGGACACAAACTAGAACATTAACTGCTTCTGATAAAATAAGCCAAACATATATGGAGTCTTCTCTTTCCATTTTGGGTACCTGTTTATCCACCGAGAAACAAATTAGTGACCCAAACCTTGCAGCGACACAATGTCTTTTCCCGGTGAATCCCATGGGAAAGAGAAAGGAAGGTCACCTGTAATGATCGATAATGACAGTACCTGCTATTGAATGTGTATGTGCTTGGACGTGGTTTCATTCAATCCTCAAGTCCTTGTGAGATGGGAGTTATTCTATTCTACTGATGGGGAGAATACCTAGTTCAATAGCCCAAGATTCTATCAGTAAAGGAAGAGCCATAATTTGAGACCAAGAGGTTACATTAAATTGTGTTTCTGTTACTACTTAAACGTGGTCATGTGAAGGCCAATGGAACCCAATGATGAGTGATAAGAAGCAAGAACTTCTCAAAGGGAGGTCTCTCAAACCAGAGGGGTACCAGGAAAGGGAACACCCGGTGTTCCTCAAGGGTCCTTTCATGCAAAAATAAGGCCAGTAGCCCTAGCTGGTTTGGCTCTGTGGATAGAGCATCGGCCTGCGGACCAAAGGGTCCCAGGTTCAATTTCAGTCAAGGCGGCACATACCTGGATTGCAGGCTCCTCCCTGGCCTGGGCCCTTGTCAGGGCTCATGCAGAAGACAACCAATTGATGTGTTTCTCTCACATCGATGTTTCTCTCTGTCTTTCCCTCTCTCTTCCACTCTAAAAATCAATGAAAAAATATCCTTGGGTGAGGATTTAAAAAAAGAAAAAGAAAAAAGGCTAGTAGCTGGTATTCTGAATCATGACGTAAGAGACATGAGCCACAAACAAATGATGTCTGACTGAGGATAACTCTAAGGTACCTGGGAGTTTGTTTGGACTCAGAGTTATTGTGCACAGTTGTCCGAGTTGTTCAGTGATCAACACAAGTGGAAACTCAACTCCAGCTCGCTTTCTATTCTGAGATGTGTACCCTGAGTGGTACTGATACTGTTGTAATTAGCTAGTCCTATATAATAAAAGGGTAAGATGCAAATTGACCCTAATGGCAGAACAACCAGAACGACTGCTGCACCAGTCACTATGAGGTGCACTGATCACCTCTTGGTCCCTTTCCCTGATGGCCACTGGGGAACCGGGGGGTGGGTGGTGGCGGATGTGGGGCGGGGCTGGCTGCGGGCAGCTGGGGAAGATGGCTCTAATGTCTGGCTTCCCCCCTTTGCTCCTTTTCTATTATTAATAACTAGCGCCCTGACTGCTTTGGCTCAGTGGATAGAGCCTCGGCCTGCGGACGCAAGGGTCTCGGATTTGATTCCGGTCAAGGGCATGTACTTTGGTTGCGGGCACATCCCCAGTAGGGGGTGTGCAGGAGGCAGCTGATTGATGTTTCTCTCTCATCGATGTGTCTGACTCTCTATCCCTATCCCTTCCTCTCTGTAAAAAATCAATAAAGTATAAAAAAAAAATAACTAGGGACCATGCGCCGGGCATCTAGTTATTAATAATAGGAAAGGAGCAAAGGGGGAAGCCAGACATTAGAAGCATGGCCATTTGGGCAGCTTCACCAGGGAGCTGCAATTTCACACTCCCCAGGGAACCACCAGTTCATTCCCTCTAGAACACTGGGGGAAGGGGTCCAAAAAGGGGAGGCAGACACAAGCCCAGTGAAGTTGGGGTGACATAAGAAGGTACTTGCCTGTCAGCCAAACCTGGGGACAGAGATGGTTGGCCAGAATGGGTGTGGCCACTACAAACCCATAAAAACTGAGGGACACATAATCTCCCAAATGACGGAATTCTCTCTCCTGTTGCTCTCTACTCTTGGCTTGTGGGGCTTTTTTGCTCCAGCTTCCTTGCATTTGCCTGTGTTTCCTCCATAGCCTTGTGGTCCTGAGGACACCACATGCAACGCATCTGGAGACTATAGCTGGGAACACAAGCTAACCCAGCCTGATGTTGGACTGACACTGCTCCAACATGGAATGGAAGCTCTGGTCGCTGACTCTGATTCTAGCCCCCCTGAAGTCACAGAGACACTTGTGATTCCATGGAAATAAAGCTTTCTATGCCCTGGCCAGCATGGCTCAGTAGTTAGAGCATTGGCCTGTGCACCAGAGAGTTGAGAGTTCAATTTCTGGTCAAGGGCATGTATCCGGTTTGCAAGTTCAATCCCCAATCCTGTTGGCGCACGTGTGGGAGGCAACCAATCAATGTGTCTCTCTCTCATCGATGTTTCTCTCTCTCTCTCTTTCTCCCCATCTCTTTCCCTCCCTTTCACTCTCTCTAAAAATCAAGGGGAAAAATATCCTTGGGTGAGGATAAAAAATAATAATAACGCTTTCTTTTCTCTTTCTTTTGTTTTGTTAATTCTCACCAGAGAAATTTTTCCGTTGATTTTTTAGGGAATGTGGGAGAGAGAGGGAAATACAGAGAGAAACACTGATGTGAGAGGAACACATCAGTTGGGACTGGACTGGGGAGGAGCATGAAACTAAGTACTTGTCCTCGATCGGAATCGAACCTGGGACCCTTCCGTAGGCAGGCCGACACCCTGTCCACCGAGCCAGACTGGCTAGGGCAGCGGTTCTCAACCTGTGGGTCGCGACCCCTTTGGCGGTCGAACGACCCTTTCACAGGGGTCGCCTAAGACCATCCTGCATATCGGATATTTACATGATGATTCATCACAGTAGCAACATGACGGTGATGAAGTAGCCACGAAAATAATGTTATGGTTGGGTCACCACATGAGGAACTGTATTGAAAGGGCCAGAAGGTTGAGAACCATTGGGCTAGGGCAATAATAATAAAGCTTTCTACACTATCTCGTCCTCTGACGGGGGCTTCTCGAAATTCTTATTCCAGTAGTGCTCCAAGAACCCCACCTCTACTGGTAACAATACTGTTTCTAATCAGAATAAGAGATTTCCTCGCCCTCCCCGCCCTGCCATTTATGCAGAATGGCCGTAGAGGCGTGTGGCAGCTGTCTTCATATGTGGCGGGTCCTCTGTGGCCGCGAGATGTACCTGAGATATCGCAGATGACACTTTGGGTGAAGCAAGACCCCACACAGTACGGGCAGCATGTTATTCTGATCATTTCCTTCCAGGGTCAGGTGCGTGAGAGTCTCGTAACCGCCCAGAATGACGCAGAAGTTCCGGTAAGCATCCGCTGGGGACACATTTCGGAGGCTAGGGCAGAGAAGACAAAGGTGAGCTCTTGTTCCTCTACTGCACACACACGGACACAAAGGGCTGCCATAGGTTTACACACTAGAAACAAATTTCTTCTCATATTTCCACCTTTATTGAGGTATTACCAACAAATAAATTGTACATATTTAAGGCCTATGATGTAATGTGTTAGACTTAATGCTTTTAAAAAATATGCCCTGGCCGGTTTGGCTCACTGGATAGAGCGTCGGCCTGGGGACTGGAGAGTCCTGGGTTCGATTCCGGTCAAGGGCATGTACCTTGGTTGTGGACACATCCCCAGTGGGGGGTGTGCAGGAGGCAGCTAATCACTTCTCTCTCATTGATGTTTCTGACTCTCTGTCCCTCTCCCTTCCTCTCTGTAAAAAATCAATAAAATATATTAAAAATATATTTTTATTGATTTCAGAGAGGAAGGGAGAGGGAGAGAGAGATAGAAGCATCAATGATGAGAGAGAATCATTGATTGGCCGCCTCCTGCAAGCCCCCTACTGGGGATCAAGCCCACAATCCAGACATGTGCCCTTGACAGGAATCGAACCCGGGACCTTTCAATCTGCAAGCCGATGCTCTATCCACTGAGCCAAACCAGCCAGGACATGGACTTCGTGCTTTGATATATTCGTACCTGGTGAGGTCATCACCCCCATCACGCTAATTAGCGTATCTGTCACCTCTCACAGTCACCACTTCCTTTTTTTATTTTGTGGTGAGACCGCTGAAGATCAAATCTCTTTGGTCTTCTAGAGCTTCTTCATCTCGCGTGTCTGAAACTCTGTATCCCTCACTAACATCACATTTTAGACGCTATTAGAAACTTCAATTTATTTATTTTTTAAATCCTCACCTGAGGATATTTTTCCCTCTTTGATCTTTAGAGAGAGTGGAAGGGAGGGAGGAGGGGGAGGGGGGGAGAGAGAGAAAAAGAGAGAGAGAGAGAGAGAGAGAGAGAGAGAGAGAGAGAGAGAGAGAGAAAGAGAGAGAAAGAGAGAGAGAAAGAGAGAGAGAAGAGAGAAAAAAGAGAAAAGAGAGAACAAGAGAAAAAAGAGAAAAACTAGAAAAAGAACTCAAGAGATGAGAGAGAGACAGCAAGAAAGAGGAGCTCTCGCAGAGAAAGAGCGTCCCCAGAAGAGAGAGAAAGAGAGGAGACAACACTATTCATACACCTCTCCCGAGAAGTCCTCCCAGAGAGCCTCATCTAGAAGCAGAGAACGAAAGCTCTAGCTAGAATCGTAGGCTGCCTCCCATATACTCCCTGAACAAGGATCAAACCCATGACCCTTCAGTCACGAGATGATTCTCTAATCAACGGAGCCACCCTGGCCGGGGCGAGAGCTCCAATTTTAGTTATCTCACGCTTTTGCCAAAGGGAAGTGAGTTGCTCCAGACAAAAGCTGTTCTATAGCTTTCTTTCTTTTTATTAAATTCATTGCCCTGGCTGGGTGGCTCAGGCGGTTGGAGTGTTGTCCCAGACACCAAAAAGTGGCGAGTTTGATCCCTGGTCTGGGCAAATACAAGAACCAACCGATGAATGCATCAATATGTAAAACAACAGATTAATGATTCTTCTCCTCCCTCTCTCTCAAATCAATCCGTCAATCAATCATAACAATAAGTACAAAGTTTGAGTTTTGCAAGATAAAGCGTTTTGGAGATAAATGGTGGCGATGGTTGCACAACATGAATGTAATGAATTCCACCCAACTGTACTATTACCCATGGTTAAGATGGCTATTTTTATGCTATGCACATTTTACCACAATAAAAAACTGGAAAAATCACTTTATATGTATGATTCAGGAGACAAATTTAAGGACCGGCCTGCCTCTGTTTCCTGTGTCCTGAGTATGTGGTTGGAAGCGGGGTTACAAGAACTCAGAGACTGCTCCACCAAGCTCCGTCATGCCCTCGGGGTTGTAACCCTGGGGTTCGCTTCTACTTACACCACTTTCCGGAGGCTACAGGGCACAGAGGAGATTTTTTCACAAAGAAGCCGGACCGACGAGGTGCTGAGGAAGCTCCGACTGATGTCCAGGAATTCCAGGTTCTCGTTGGCGCCGAACATGGAGCAAAGGTCCATCCAGAAGGGAAGCAGGTGCCGATCACTCTGGGACCTTCAGCGAAGTGACAAAGGAGGGAATTTACCAAACACGGCTGGAGCGAGAACCCACATTTGTACGTCACCCTGGAGGTCCTTGGGGTTGCAACCACCCTTAATACATTAGTAAACTCTAAAAGCTGGAGGATGGCCTGGTAGCTCTGTTGGTTAGAACGTTATCAAGATCCACCAACGTTGCAGGCATGATCCCCGGTCGGGGCACCTAAAGAATCAACGGTGCTCCCTTGGGCAGCACATACACTAAAAAACTGGAATGATACAGAGAAGAGTAGCATGGCCCCTGCACAAGGATGACACGCAAATTCGTGAAGCGTTCCATATGAAAAAATAAAATCAACGAATGGAGTTCCTGGCGGCATAGGCTGCGTGGGGTTGTGTTTTCGCTTTCCGCCCCTGCTGGCCACCTCCACGATGGCGAACTCGGGGTCGGCGCAGAAGCGGCTGCTCAAAGAGGAAGACATGACCAAAGTGGAATTCCAGACCAGCGTGGAAGAGGACGTGACACCCATATTCGACAGCCTGGGCCTGCGGGAGGACCTGCTGCACGGCATCTATGCCTATGGGTTTCAAAATCCATTCGCCATCCAGCAGCGCGCCATCAAGCCCGTAACTGAAGGGAGAAACGTCATCGCACAGTCTCAGGCTGGCACGGGTGAGACCGCCACTATCAGCATTTCTATCCAACAGTGTCTGGATATCCAGTTACTTCACCAGGTCCGTGAGACCCAGGCTTTGATCTTGGCCTCCACGAGAGAGCTGGCTGTGCAGATCCAGAAGGGCCTGCTCGTGCTGGGCCATTACGTGAATGTGCAGTGTCAGGCCTGCATCGGGGGCACCCACGTGGGGGAGGACATCCGGAAGCTGGACCACGGGCAGCACGTCGTGGCCGCCTCGCTGGGGCATGTCTTTGATATGAGATGCTGAATCAAGGTTTCGACATCTATAGGTACCTGCCCCCGGCCACGCAGGTGGTACTCATCAGCGCCACGCTGCCCCACGAGATCCTGGAGATGACAAACAAGTTAATGACGGACCCCATCTTCATCCTGGTGAAGCGTGATGAGTTGACGCTGGAAGGCATCAAGCACTCTTCCGTGGCAGTGGAAAGAGAAGAGTGGAAATGTGACATGCTGTGTGACCTCCACGACACGCTGACCATCATGCAAGCCATCACCTTCTGCAACACCAAGAGGAAGGTTGACTGGCTGACGGAGAAAATGAGAGAAGCCAACTTCACAGTGTCGTCGGTGCACGGGGACATGCCGCAGAAGGAGCGGGAGTCTATCCTGAAGGAGTTCCGCTCCGGTGCCAGCCGGGTGCTCATCTCCACCGACGTCTGGGCCCGGGGCCTGGACATCCCTCAGGTGTCCCTGCTCATCAACGACGACTTGCCCGACAACCGGGAGCTCTACATCCACAGAATTGAGGGTCAGGGCGGTATGGCCGGAAAGGGCGTGGCCATCAACTTCATGAGGAATGACGACATCCACATCCTGTGAGACACTGAGCAGTATTACTCCACGCAGATCGACGAGATGCCCATGAACATTGCCGATCTGCTCTGAGGCGTCTGCTGTGCCAGGGACGAGTCGGCCAGCTCTGTCCCCTCGGGACTTTCCAGAACAGTTTTTTTAAGGAGGTTTCGGCACACATGGGAATTGAACTTTGACCCCTCTGACCACATTGTCAGAGCGTGGCAACACCTGCAGCTCACAGAGAGGATGTAGGAAGGACAAAAAGTTCTTGCAAAGGGAAACAAGTCTAGTGGTGCCTCACAACCCACCCAGGATGCGGTCTTGGGTCTGTCTTCTTTTCTTTTGTTTTTTTGAGATATTTCATTGTAGTGTTTTTTCTTTTCTTTTTTATTAAATCTTTATTGTTCAGATTAAAAAAACAACAACAAAAGAATCAACAAATGGCCCAAGCCGGTTTGGCTCAATGGATAGAGTGTCGACCTGCGGGTCTCAGGTTCGATTCCGGTCAGGGGCACATGCCCGGGTTGCAGGCTCGATCCCCAGTAGGGGGCGTGCGAGAGGCAACCGATCAATGATTCTCTCTCATCATTGATGTTTCAATCTCTCTCTCCCTCTCCCTTCCTCTCTGAAATCAATAAACACACACACAAAACTAGAATAAAATCTTAAAAATAGCAACGAATGAATGATCAATAAGTGGAACAAGTTGATATTTCTCTCTCTCCCCCTCTCTCTCTCTCTCTCTCTCTCTCTCTCTCTCTCTCTCTCTCTCTCTCTCTGTTCCTGTCTTTCTCTATTATAAGTTTGGTGATGTCTGATAGTAATGCTAAATGATTACAAGTCATCACCTAAGACCTATCATTGAAAAAATAACTCAATAAAGTTATGGCACTGCAATATGACAGAGCAGTAGAATAAGTCAAAATCTGCTCTAGCCGGTTTGGCTCAGTGGATAGAGTGTCGGCCTGTAGACCGAGCAGAAGGCAATCAGTCCATATGTTTCTCTCCCATTGATGTTTCTCTCTCTGTCTCCCTCTCTCTAAAAGTCAATGGAAAAATATTCTCAGAGGCTGTCCTCCACAGTGGAGCCTGGGATGAAGCTAAAGGTAAAAACACACGAGGCCAGTAGGAAAGGCGAGTCCTTACCGCTCCGCCCACGTGCCTGGCTCCGAGGCCCCGTCATTCTCCAGGAAGATCCCCTTCTCCACCTGCAGCCAGAGCCTGCGCAGGGCCTGGCCGTGCCTGAGGCAGAAGGACGCGTGCACGAGGTCCCTCTCACTCTGCAGGTGCAGGGCCAGCTCCGTGATGGGCGCCAGGGCCTCCCTCACCAGCGCCTCCTCCTGAGACTCATAGAGGCAGCGCATCAGCTCCCGGATGTCCGCCCTGGAGGAGAAAGGCCAGTCCCTGCTGTGCGTCACTCTCAGCAGCTCCTGCCTGACGTCCAGGGACACGCGGCAGCCGAAGGTGGCCTCCAGCTCCCGGGCCCTCTCCTGGTTGGCGAGGCCGAACAGGAAGTAGCCCACGCGGGTCAGGCTGGGGTTGCGCAGCCGCTCCTCCTTGGACAGCAGCGCGCGCACGGTCCTGATGTCTGGCACGCAGTCGCCTGTGTCCCCCCGCTCCGCGCCGTCCAGCAGGTAGAACAGGGCGGCCAGGAACTGCTGGACGCTGAGGTGCAGGAAGGCGTAGCAGCCCTCGCAGTCCGCGTCCGCCTGCAGGACCTTGCCATCCAGGAAAGGGCGCAGGTCGGCCTCGCTGACCCCCAGCTGCCTGAGGTCTTCGCCATCGAACAGGGACGTCTGCGCCCAGATGCCCCGGGCGGCCAGGAGGCTCAGGGCGTGGAGCGCAGTGGGGAGGTGCGGGGCGGGGCCGCTGCCGAGGGCCGCTGGGGAGCACTGGCCGCACAGGAAGCGCAGGAACAGCGAGGTGGGGGTCCGGCAGGTGGGGGCCGGGTCCTCCCCCTTCTCCAGCTGCCTCTTGAGACACGTACACACGACCCAGCACACGGCGGGCGCCGCGCCCATGTGGAACAGCGCCGGGCTGCCCTTCATGCCCTCGAAGGCGCGCAGGGCCTGGTCCTGCTGCTCAAAGTGCTTCAGGAAGTAGCCCCTGCGGTCCGCCTCCAGGAAGCCCTCCACCTCGATGAACAGCGGCTGCTCCACCAGGAGCCGCAGCTCCCCCAGGGCCTCCGGGCGCGTGGTGACCAGCAGCGTGGCCTTGGGCAGCAGCTTTCTCATCAGCAAACTGCCCAGCAGGACGGGCACGGGCTTCGGCTTCTCCCAGTCGCCACAGATGTCATGGATGAGGGGCCCCGAGGGCGCTCTGAGCTCGTCGAAACCATCGATGACCACCAGGATCTTCTGCCCCTGAGCCAGGACCTGGGGGCCGGCCTCCTGCGCGTCTGGGCACTTCTTAGCCAGGAGCTCCGCGAAAGTACAGGGGCCCTGGCGGCCCAGCCCCTTGCAGCTGAGGTAGAAGGCGGAGTGGAATGTCCCCGGGAGGTGGTCCTGTGCCCAGTCCAGCATCCACTTCTTGGCCAGCGTGGTTTTCCCCACGCCCGCCGCGCCCTGCAGCACCACCGTGTGCGGGAAGGGCCCGGCCAGCATGTTGGGGTTACAGAAGGGGACTAGCCTCTCGTATCTCTGCGTGAATTTATGGAGCTTTTCACTGGCTTCGGGCCAATGGTTTTGCTTCCAGATGGGCCCGGATGTCTTCCATATACTGCTGTAGGTGTCCTGTGTACCTTCAGGGATAGGAGACGGGAGAGAGACGGGGTCTAGCTGGTTAATCATTGAGAACAAAGTGCTTTGTGTCAAGTAGGAAAGAAACGTGCGCACACGTGTGTACACACACACACACACACACACACACACACACACACGGAGAAGAGCCACCAGATGCCAAGCTCCCTCCAGGGAGATCTGAGACACACCTGGTGTTTCTCCTTCCAAGCTTTCCGTTACTTCTTCTGGGTTGGTGACACTTCTGCCCTGTGCTTGAGTGAGCTCTGTAAAATAGCAATTAGGGTGAGCTTGGCACAGAACAGGTATACTTTATGGGCAATAGAATATGACACGGCCAGGATAACGAGATCTTGCCACTTGCGACAGCATGGATGGGCCTAGAGGGTGCTATGCTCAGTGAAATAGGTCAGACCCGGAAAGACAAACACTGTACGATGTCACTTATACGTGGAATCTAATGAACAAAATAAACAAAACAATAAAACAGACCCGCCCTGGCTGGTTTGGCTCAGTGGATAGAGCGTCGGCCTGTGGACTGAAGGGTCCCAAGTTGGATTCTGGTCAAGGGCACGTTTCGGGGTTGTGGGCTCAATTCCCAGTAGGGGGCGTGCAGGAGGCAGCCAATCAATGATTTTCTCTCATCATTGATGTTTCCCTCTCTCTCTCTCTCCCCCTTCCTCTCTGAGATCAATAAAAATATATTTAAAGTGAATAAATAATCTGATGAACAGAATAAACTGGTGAATATAATAGAATCAGGGGCATAGAAAGGAAGTGGACTGACTATTCTCAGGGGGGAAAGGGGTGTGGGGGATGCGGGAAGAGACTGGACAAAAATTGTACACCTATGGATGAGGACAGTGGAGCGGGGGGAGGTAAGGGCAGAGGGTGGGGTGGGAACCGGTGGAGGGGAGCTATGAGGGAAAAAAAGAGGAACAACTGTAATAATCTGAACAATAAAGATTTAATTTAAAAATAAACAAATAAATATCAACGTGCACATGAGCTAAATTCTAGACACACAAAAAATGTATTTAAAAAAACAACAACAGACTCACAGATACAGAAAACAGATTGACACCTGCCAGAGGGGAGGGGGTGTGTGGGCCTGGGTGAAAAAGGTGAAAGGATTAAACAAAAAACAACCAATAACAACAACAATAACACAACCTCATAGACACAGACAACAGCTTGGTGATTACAGTTTGGTGATTCCTAGGGGGAATCAGTGTCGGGGGACAATAGAAGAAGGTAAAAGGGAGATAAACGGAGATGGAAGGAGACTTGACTTGGGGTGGTGAACACACAAGACAATCTACAGATGACGTGCTGTAGAATTGTACCCCTGAAACATGTATTTTATTAATTCATATCACCCCAATAAATTCAATCAAAAAGGAAAAGAATATCATCGCAATAACTTTGTATGGTGCCAGGTGGGTACTAGACTGATCAGGGGGAACATGTTTTAAGTTATATAAATGTCTAATCACTATGATGTATACCTGAACCTATATTGTATGTCAACTGTAATTAAAAAATAAAAAGACAGAATACTTAAAAAAATAGGTGTAGTTACTTCATCAGAAGTGTGATGATAAAATAGGCTCCAAGGAGTAGAGAATCTAAATTCTTTGTCTACAATTTGTGCTGGCAAGTGTGACTCAGTTGGTTGGAGCATCCTCCTGTGCAACCAAAGGTCACGGGTTTGAGTCCGGTCAGGGCACATACCTAGGTTTCGGGTTTGGTCCCCGGTCTGGGCATGTGAAGGAGGCAATCAATCAATGCTTCTCACTCATATCAATGTCTTCTCTCTCCCTCTCTTAACCCATCCCCCCAAAACACACACACAAAGGGGTGGAAAAGGGGTGGCTTCCCTTAGCTTCCTCTAACACTGGACATTCCAAGACCAACCTGGCTCTTCTCCTTCTCCTCCTCCTCCTTCTCCTTCTTCTAAATGCTGTTGTATTTTTTCCTCGTTTGCACATTTGGGTTCCCGAATCCGTGTTATCCCTGAATAAAAGAGGGGACATCATGGGCTTGTCCCTGTACCAGTATGGAGCCTTCTGTTTGGCAGAGGTGGGACTTCAAGGTGGTTCAAGGTCAACAGTTGGGCCGCCATGTTTAAGCCCAGGTCACATAGAAAGGATGCTAAGGAAGTATGGGAGATGAAGTGTGCCAGGCCATGACATCAGGCTTACATGCCTTTTCTGGCAAGGGGCTGCCGATGGAGTTAAGAATACATGGTCCTGGCCAGAGAGCTCAGTGGTTAGCGTGTCATGTCAACATGCCAAGGTTGTGAGTTCAGTCCCTGGTCAGGGCACATACAAGAATCAACCAATGAATGCATCAATAAGTGGAACAAGTCGATGTCCTCCACCCCCCCCTCCCCCCAAAAAAGAATACATGGTCCAAGCCCTGGCTGTTGTGGTTTAGTGGTTAGAGCGTCGGCCCAAGCATTGAAGGGTTGCGAGTTTGATTCCCAGTCAAGGGCATGTACTTGGATTGCAGGTTTGATTCCCAGCCCAGGTCGGGCACATATGTGAGGTAACCAATCCATGTGTATCTCTCACACATTGATGCTTCTCTCTCTTTCTCTCTCCTTTTCCCTCCCTCTCCCTCTCTTCTACTCTAAAAATCAATGGGAAAAATGTGCTGGGGTAAGATTAACCAATAAACAAAACAAAACAAAAAAACCCAAACAAAAAACAAAAACAACCCACAAAAAACCAGAAAACAAAATAAACACACAAACAAAAAAAGTGAAAGCTATTCTTAGCTTGTAGGTGGGTGGGACTTGCTTTGTGAGTCATAGCTTGGCCACCTCTGCCGCAGGTCAGTCTAACACCCAGTGTATCTAGATTCCAAGAGAAAGTTCACTCTGATTTCTAGTATAAATACGGCTTCATGTTACCTTTCCACGTCTTACACCTCTTACCACTGCCACCTGCATGACTGCAGAAGAGAGGAAGTCTTGTATTTCTTTGCCGCCTTAGTGCTTGGCATAATATCTTGTCCCTAAATCCCCAAATCTCATATTAAAAAAAAAAAAAAGACTGTCAAGGAGGTAACGTACCTGACAATGGAACCTTGTTTTTCTGAAGAGACTTCAAAGCCGCTTCTGAAAAAGCAGGAGGGGAGAGACGTGCAGTTTTCAGAGCCAGACCCTGAACTGAGTACAACGCTGATGTTCCTCATGCCGCTTTCAAACTTGTAATCGCTCCAGAGGCCGGCGAGAGCTGATCCCTCACCTGTCTGTAGAAGGCGGGGAACAGCTCGGCTGGCATGCTCAGTGGTTGAGCATCAAACTATGAACCTGGAGGTCACGTTTGATTCCCAGTCAGGGCACATGCCTGGGTTGCAGGCTTGATCCCCAGTGTGGGGCGTGCAGGAGGCAGCTGATCCATGATTCTCTCTCATCATTGATGTTTCTATCTCTCTCCCTCTCCCTTCCTCTCTGATGTATATGTATATGTATATGTATAAAGACAGGGGACACTAAGCTAAAAATGAAGCCCCAGCTGGAATAAAACCAGAAAATTTTAAATATATATTTTTTATCGATTTCAGAGAGGAAGGGAGAGAGATATTGAAACATCAATGATGAGAGAGAATCATGGATCAGCTGCCTCCTGCACACCCTCTACTGGGATGGAGCCCGCAACTTGGGCATGTGCCCTGACCGGGAATTGAACCGTGACCTTCTGGTTCACAGTGCAGTGCTCAACCACTGAGCAAGACTGGCCTGGTCAGACATTTTTTAAAAAGAAAAAAAAGTCATAGAGGTAGTTACTGTGTCAGGTAGCAGAGCCCTCTAAGTAGGAATTATAAAACTTGGGATGTACACAGGCATCACCCAGGAAACCTTGAAGAATCCCATGCCTATGGCTGGACCTAGAGGGTATGATGCGCAGTGAAATGAGCCAGGCAGAGAAAGACAAGTACCGCAGGATCTCACGCATCTGTGGATCTAAAGAACAGAACAATATGTAATACCCTTTGTAATACTTGAAGCAATAAAACTAAAAAAACAGAACAAACAAACCAAAGAGAAACAGACTCAGAGAACAGACTGGTGGTTGTCAGATGGGAGGGGCTTGGGTTGCTGAGTGAAAAAGGGGAAGGGATATTAACAAGTACAAATTGGGCCCAACCCACGTGGCTCAGTGGTTGAGCGTCGACCTACGAACCAGAAGTTCATGGTTTGATTCCAGGTCAGGAGCAGGGTACATGCCTGGGTTGTGGGCTCGGTCTCCAGTGGGGGGCATGCAAGGGGCAGCTGATTAGTGGTTCTCTCTCATCATTGATGTTTCTCTCTCTCTCTCTCTCTCTCTCTCTCTCTCTCTCTCTCTCTCTCCCTCCCTCCCTCCCTCCCTCCCTCTCTGAAATCAATAAAAATATATTTTAAAAAGTGTAAATTGAAGTCACAGAATAGTCATGGGATGTAACATACAGCATAGGAATATAGTCAACAGTATTGGGAGGGGGGCAGGAGAGATTAGCCACAGAACTTACATACACATATGCATCACCCATGGACACAGACAGTATCGCCGTGCAGGCCTGGGGAGGAGGTGGGAGTGGGTAGAGGGAGTCCATGGGGGAAAATGGGGACATCTGTCATACTTTCAACAATAAAGATAAATAACTTCCCCCCAAACAAACCAGTATTGTAAAAACTATGTATGGTGTCAGATGGGGACTATAGTTATTGAAGGAATCACTTGGTAGGGAATAAAAATGTCTAACCACTACACCATCCACCTGAAACTAATACAAAATAATATTGAATGTCAAATTGTAATTAAAAAAAGAGGAATTGCATGCCTAGGGGGAGCTGTAGATCAATGAGTTAAATGGGTGTCTCCAGCGATAGGTTCCAGATGTCAGTATATTTCAAGCTCCCCAGGAGATTGCTGAGAACAGTGAGAGTGGGGAACCCCGGGACATAAAACATGGCTCTCCACTCAGGGCCATTTCCCCCCGTAAAGGGAACATTTGGCCATATGTGTAGACATCATTGGTTGGGGGGAGAGGAGGCAGTGTGCTGCAAGCATGTAAGGGTTAAAGGTGTTGGGATGCTAGCACCCAGGTACCATGGATGCTGCTAACTATCCTATAGTGCACAGATGTCCCTTCCTTTCCCCCAAGAGAATCACCCAGGCCCCAGTGCTGCTGACCTAAAGGACAGTAGGGGTTTCAGTGTATGAATGTGTGTAAGTATGTTTATAGACATAACTATGTGGGAAAGAAACATTATAAGTAGGAATTAAAAACAAAACAGAGGTTACGCAGTGATTTAATATTGTGGAGGACAGGCGAGAGACGCAAATTAAAACCACAAGGAGGGATCACCTTGCACCTGCCAGAATGGCGACCATAAACCAACAAACGACAAGTGCTGGCGAGGATGTGGAGAAAAGGGAACCCTCATGCACTGCTGGTGGGAATGCAGACTGGTGCAGCCACTGTGGAGAACAGTATGGAGTTTCCTCAAAAAGTTAAAAATGGAACTGCCATTTGATCCAGTGATCTCACTTCCGAAAATATATCCTAAGAAACTTGAAACACTTATTTGAAAGAATATATGCAGCCTTATGTTCATAGCAGCACAATTTACAACAGCCCAGATCTGGAAACAGCCCCAGTGAGTGGATAAAAAAGCTGTGGTACATCTACACAATGGAATACTATACAGCTGTAAAAAGAATGCTCTCTTACCTTTTTGACAGCATGGGTGGACCTGGAGAGCATTATGCTAAGTGAAACGGGCCAGTCAGAGAAAGACAAACACCACGTGATCTCACTGATGTGTGGAAATCCATGAACAAAAGAAACTGATGAACAAATAGAAACTGAAGCATGGATGGATGCACGGAACAGGCTGACAGCTGTCAGAGGGGAGGAGGGTTGAGGGACTGGATGAAGGAAGGTGAAGGGATCAGCCAAAGAGCATACATGCATAACCCACGGACACAGACAACAGTGCGGTGATGGCCAGAGGGAAGGGGGGTGGAAGAGTGCGGGGGTGGAGGTGGAGGTGGGCACGAGGGCGGGGAAGGGGGACGGAAAGTGACTTTGCTTGGGGAAATGGGCGCACGATGCAGTGTGCAGATGGTGTTTTGTTGAGTTGTACCGTTGAAACCTGTATGGTTTTGCGAACCAATGTCACCTCCAATACATTCAAATAAAAATAAATGAATAAATAAACAAACAAACACAAAGGAAGGAAGGAAGACAATCATGAATACACTTCAGAAACAGTTTAGAACAGAAGAAGGGATGTATGGTGAGGAGCCCAGGGTAGGTATATAGGACGCAGAAAGAGTAGAAATAGGGAGGATATACGCAACGGCGAGGTTATAAGAATGACACTTTGTGTTGAGCCCAGGTAGCCCCTCCGAGGCTCACTGTTATCTTTGTGCTTCTCAGACCCTGGGCACTCCCACTCCCCCCCCCCCCACTCCCCAGGACACAGGGTGGCCTCCCGTCGGCTCACCTCTGAGCTCCTCCTTGGCTCTCTTGGACAGATCCGTTCGGTTCATCTTGTCAAAGACCTGGATGGTCACCATCTCCACCCAAAAGATGGGGCAGCGGGTGGTGAGAATCTCCGCCAGCTGCTGCCCGCTGGCCTCGTCCACCTCCGTCTGGGACACGTGCTGTAACTCATCTTGTGGGGGAAGGGTCCTCAGCAGAGACTTGAACTCGCTCAGCTCCTCCAGCTCCAGCTGTTCCAGGAGAGGCCTCAGGTTGAAATCCATCTTGTCCTACGTGGGAGAGCTGAGCTTTTGACAATGGAATACTACGCAGCCACGAGAAAGAAGGAACTCTTACCTTTGGCGACAGCCTGGAGGGTCCTGGAGAGTAGTATGCTAAGTGACATAAGCCAGTCAGAGAAAGACAACTATGGCCATGATCTCACTGATATGTGGAATCTAATGACAGAATAAACTGACGAACAAAATAGGTCTAGAGACATGGATACGTGGAACAGACAGACAGACCTCAGAGGGGAGGAGGATGGAGGGGATGAGCAGGGCTAACCAAAGAACACATATGCATATAGGCATAGCCCATGGACACAGACAATAGTGTGGGGAAGGCCTGGGGTGAGGTGAGGGCTGGGTGGAGAGAGGCAAAGAAGGGGAAAATGGGGGACATCTGTAATACTGTCAACAATAAGCTAAAAAAAAAATAAAAGTAAAAAAAAAGGGGCGGTACATTTATACAATGGAATACTATGTGGCTGTAAAGAAGGAAATCTTGCCCGGCCAGTGTGGTTCAGTGGTTGAGCATTGACCTATGAACCAGGAGGTCATGGTTCGATTCCCAGTCAGGTCACGTGCCCAGGTTTTGGGCTCATTCTCCAGTGTGGGGCGTGCAGGAGGCAGCCAATCAATGATTCTCTCTCATCATTGATGCTTCCATCTCTCTCCCTCTCCCTTCCTCTCTGAAATCAATAAAAATATATTTAAAAAAGAGAAGGAAATCTTACCTTTTGCAACAGCATGGATGGACCTGGAGATTAGACAAATACCATATGATCTCACTTACATGTGGAGTCTAATGAACAAAATAAACTGATGAACAAAACAGAAGCAGAGGCATGGGGACATGGGACAGACAGCGGTAGGAGGGAAGGGGAGTGGGAGGGACTGGATAAAAGAAGGTGAAGGGATTACCCAAAGGACATATATGCATAACCCATAGACACAGACAAGGGTGGTTGTGGCCAGAGGAGGCAGGCTGGATGGAGGTGGGCAAAGGATGGGAAAATGGGGGACCTTAATAGGTCAACAACAACAACAAAAAAGACCATGGCAACTACCCCATTCCTAATGCTACTTATATGTGAATCAGGTGTTAAGCATATAATTTAGCCCTTGTTGAAAGACTTGAATGAGGTCATTTGTAAGGGTGATCCTTTTAAAACACAGGGAAAGGAGATTTGCAGGGGTCCTCAAACTATGGCCCGAAGGCCACATGCAAATACAAATATTGTATTTGTTCCCGTTTTGTTTTTTTACTTCAAAATAAGATATGTGCAGTGTGCATAGGAATTTGTTCATAGTTTTTTTTAAACTATAGTCCAGCCCTCCAATCGTCTGAGGGACAGTGAACTGGCCCCCTGTTTAAAAAGTTTGAGGACCCCTGATTTAGAGAGATGAGCCATGATCTGTTCTCAGCCAGCTGTGAAGTGTGGAAGCCAAAATTTGAATCAGAGCAGCCTTCTTTCAGATGCTGTGATGTCAATTCCTGTGCTAATCGACTCCCATAGATACCTCCCCACCCCCACCCTCACCCAGGCATCAGGTGAAAAAATAAGGACATTTCAGAAGAGAAGAACCAACTGGTTAAACCCAGAATAAAGTCTTCTGTGAAGCTGGGAAGCAGGCAGATGAAGTGAAATGGGTCAGAACCTGGTGGGCCTTTGAGGCTGTGGATGGTTGGGCAATACTCATGGAGTAACTCCAGTGGGAAGAGAAAAGTTATACCTGCAATGGGATCCAAAATCACAGCAACGAAACACATCTTACACCAATGTAGTGTATCTACACCCAAGTGTTCAATGGTTGTATTTACATTGAGATGTAACCGTGGGACCCTTATGTGTGGAATCAAAAGAACAAAATACAGTGGGGCCTTGACTTAGGAGTTTAATTCGTTCAGAGACCGAGCTCGTTAAGGAGCTCATTAAGGATCTCGTTAACTCAAATTACTCTATCAACTCAATGCAAAAAATCGGCCGAGAGACAGCTGGTATCTCAAAAAACTTGTTAGTCGGGACACTCGTGAGTCAAGACCCCACTGTAAATGAAGAAACAAAACAGGAACAGACTCAGACACAGGGAACAGACTGTGTAAGGGTTGCCAGAGGGAACAGCATAAGGAATAGAGTCAATAATATTGTAACGACTATGTTTGGGGCCAAATGGGTACTAGACTTGTCGGGGGAAATCACGTCATAAGTTATATAAATGTCTACCCACTGCGCTCTACACCTGAAGCGAATATAAAATAGTGAATATCAGTGTAATTTAAAAAATGTTAACCAACAAAAGAAACATTAACGGCAGATTCTTAGGACTGGTCTTGACCTTCCAGTCTTTGACTAGCCTGCGTTTTATTTGTACGAGGACATACCTCCTGGAACAACGATTCAGCTGCCTTATGGAGACCCGTCAGAGAAGGACCCCAACTAATCTTTGTGTTTGTCAGACGAGATCTTAAGAAGAGCAATTTCAGGGGAATGGTAGGGCAAGAAGCTAGAGTCAGACTGTGAAGGGCAGAAACATGCATGAGGTGTCTTGACGTGGAGGCAATGGCATAAAATAAATGAAAGAACAAATTTCTCTCTCTCTCTTTCTCTCTCCCTCCTCCAGCCTCTCAGATCAATTTTTAAAAATATCTGTATGTGCCCAGCTAGCATGCCTCAGTGGTTGAGCATCAGCCTATGAACCAAAGTTATACTTCTATTTCTAGAAACTTGGCTAAGAGAGTGAAATTAGAGATTCCATACCAGCTTTAGGGAAAATGGGAGCTTGGATCTGACTTCATATGGCCACACATTAGCCCGTTGACCACAGGGTGTGTCTTTTACCCTTAAAAGCGTTCGTTCCAAGTAGCACGCATTTTACACAAAACAGGTTATTTCATGTTGTTCTCGTCTGGCCAAAGTTAATCCAATTTACATTTATACCCAGTGATCTTAGGAAATGGAGCTTCAGCAAGAGGAAAAAAACTATTCAAAGTTATAGGAGTCATGGTCAGAGGGGAATCTGACTTGAAACTTCAAAGGTTTAACATGCAAACATTCAAAAAAAAAAAGAGAGGAGGCATATTTATTGTAGACTTAACAGCTGAATGAAGACAGAGAGACATGGAGTAAAGAAGCTGGGATGTTACTCACCTCACCAACATCCGGACCCATTCTCTGGCCACGGCCACGACGTCTGAGGTTTGGAAACCCAGCTATAAGAAGTGTGTCTTTCCACCCAAGCTCTGGGATTGGCCCGCTGCCGAGAACTTCCCGCCTCCAGCGTGATTACTGATAGGTGGAGACCCTTTCTCTAATTTGGGCATCCATTCCCGGTGTTCTCACCCTTGGCTGCGTGTTAAACTCACCTGCCTCGAGCATTGTTTCAAAGTACCAAGGCCCAGAGAGTCTGACCTCTAGGTCAGTGAGGGCTGCCCAGACGTAGGGGTTCTCTTAAAGACTTCCAGGTGATTGCAATTGGGGCCAAGCTTGAGAATCAGGGCTTGGAACCTTCAGCTGTGATTAGCTGCTTCCTGCCATCGTACAGATATTTTTAAAAACTGATGAGAGAGGAGAGAGAGAGAGAGAGAGAGAGAGAGAGAGAGAGAGAGAGAGAGAGAGGAAGAGATGGATTTGTTGTCCCACTTATGCTGCATTATTCATTGGTTGATTCTTGTATGTGCCCTGACCGTGGATTGAACCCACAACCTTGGTGTGTGGGGAGGATGCTTTAACCAACCTAGCTACCTGTCCAGGGCCAATACATATTTTTAATTTTTGAAAGCATTTTATTTTACATTCAAGATCTGGCCTGTGTTTCACACTGGCACATATCGGTTTAGATAAGTCACATTTCTGATATTCAATAGCCATGTGTGGCTAATGGCCATCATATGGGTTGGGTCTAAAGCAGTGGTTCTCAACCTTCTGTCCCTTTAAACACAGTTCCTCATGTTGTGACCCAACCATAACATTATTTTCGTTGCTACTTCATAACTGTAATGTTGCTACTGTGATGAATCATAATGTAAATATCTGATATGCAGGATGGTCTTAGGCGACCCCTATGAAAGGGTCGTTCGACCGCCAAAGGGGTCGTGACCCACAGGTTGAGAACCTCTGGTCTAGAGCCAGGGACAGGAGAGTGATCCTGGCTTTAAAATGAGGAGAGTTGCTCTAGCTGGTTTGGCTCAGTGGATAGAACATGGGCCCTTGGACTACAGGATCCCAGGTTTGATTCTGGTCAAGGGCATGTACTTTAGTTGCAGGCTCAATCCCTGGCCCTGGTGGAACATGTGCAGGAGGCAATCAATTGATGTGTGTCTCTCTCTCTCTGTCTTTCCCCCTCCCTTCCACTCTCTCTAAATATCAATGGAAAAATATCCTTGAGAGAACCAAGATGGCGGCATAGGTTAACGCCGGAGTGTGCTGCTTTGAACAACTACTTCAAAAGTGAAACTAAAAGACAGAAGGGACATCACCCAGAACCACAGGAACGCTGGCTGAGTGGAAGTCCTACAACTAGGAGGAAAAAGAAACGCACACGGACACTCAGAGGAGGCGCAGTGCTGAAGTCAAATTCTGAGGTGCGGAGTGCGCGGAGCGGGCTGGCGGCGGAGGGCGCGGTTGGCGTTTTCAATCGGGAGGGAGTCGCAGACTCTGAGCTCCAGATCCGGGCGAGTCTCTAGGGACCCAGACTCAAACGGGAGAAGCGGGACTGTCTGGCTTCGGTCAGAGCGAGTGCAGCTTTCTCTCCGAGCTTTGCAGCGGGTGCTGGGACTCAGAGAGGCAGAGCCCCTGGGGACAGGACTGAGAGCCGCCATAACTGCTCTCTCCGGCCCACCCTGTTGATCCTGTGCGACCCGCCCCGCCCAAGCCCTGCACAGAGGCTTTTGCCGGATAGCCTCAGGCAAAGGCTAGATTAGCACCTCCCTAGAGGACAGAAGTTCTCTCACTGCTGACACAGCTGATTCGCATAGCCACTTGGCCTGGAGGTCAAACCCTCCCTGGAATTAGCTACAACAATCAAGATTTAACTATAAGACTTCGAACAAAGACCACTAGGGGGTGCACCAAGGAAGCATAA